ACAAAATTAATTGTTCATTTTCTTTGCAGAATGCCTTACAAGAAATGATTGAACTGGTCATCAAAATTAATGAAGATTTCGAACAATTGCACGATTCAAGGCCCAGTAAAAATATAAAAGGTTTTTTACAATATTGGAATATTTATGTGCCGAAAACTGTAACTACACCAAAAATGAATTATACATAACTTGAAAATAACCTTTGTTTTCATACACTTAAAACTAAATACAGATTTACCAAATATATATAGTTTTTTGTAATTAAAATTTAGATACCGGTAATAAGTTTTTGCAATTTTAAGTTTATAATAAAATATTTGATGTGAATAAGCTGTTCGCACTATAGATTACTTTCATAGTAACTTATAGTAACTTAAAGTAACTTATCAGTAACTAGGGTTGTGTTACATAAATTACAATTTTACATTATATGTAATTTTATGTAAATTTCAGAAAATTGAATTTCACAGAAACTCTATTAACAATTTTGAATTTGATTAACTTCGCAATTTATTATTTTTGGAAGATGAAAACATTAAAAAAAATTTTTCACTTAATACTTAAATAAATGAAATATATTTATCAATAAATAGATAGGATTATGGAGAAATATATTTAATAAGCCTTTTTATTTTTATATTTGTTAAATAGATGTATCCTCACTTATTTGAATTATTTTTATCTCTGTCTCATTCTTTTTCTTATTTAACACGTACCTCTCTAAGTCATAGAATTCATAATTCAAGATATTAGCCAACCTTTTTGCAGCAGTATGCTAAGGTTTTTTACTTGCATCAACTGCAATATCTTTACTTGCCCAAATGCATATTGAAAGAATATCTTAATCAATGTTCCTTAAAGAGTACTCACTTACTTAATTAATGTGAATAAAATGAATTAATATTCATAAATTTAAATAGCTTATTTTGAACATTTCGACTAATAAATTTTTATCACTCACTTATTAAAGCTGGTAAAATGAAAATGAGGGTAAATATTTATGAACTTGAATGGCTTATTTTAAATACTTGATTAATAAATATCTTTATTCTCACCGACTAAATTAACAAAATAAATGAAAATAAGAAGTGACTATTCATGAACTTGAAATGCTTATTTCAATGCTTCAATTAATAAAGATTGGTATATTCACAGTCTAAAATATTATGAACAAATATTAACGAGAGTTGGAATAACGTTAGATGCTTTGATTAATATATGTTATTTGTACTCACTCCCTAAATTAACATGAATAAAATGAAATGAAGGCAAATATTCATGACTTGAACAGATAATTTTAAATGTTTTAATTAATAAATGTTCTTATAATTACTGACTAAATTAACATGAATAAATGAAATGAAATTTATCAATTTGAATAGCTTATTTTTTAATTCTTTGATTAATAAATGTCTTCATACTCACTAACTGAGTAAAATATTTATGAGATCAAAATAGCTTATTTCAAATATATCAATGAATAAGTGTTCATACTCACCAACTAAATTTACACAATAAAGTAAAAATGAGAAGGAAATATCCATGAACTTGAATAGCTTATTTAAATACTTCAATTAATAAATGCTCATTATACTTACTAACTGAATAAAATGAAATTTCAGTAAATATTCATGAACTTGAATAGCTTATTTAAATGCATCAATAATAAATTTCTTTATACTCACGGACTAAATTTACGTGAATAAAAATGAAATAAGAGGTAAATATTCATGATCGTGAATAGTTTATCTTATATACTTGATTAATCATGTTCATACTCACTAAATTAAAATGCAATTAATTATTCATGAACTTAAATAGCTGATTATAAATAGTTTGATTAATTAATGTCCTTTACACTTACTAACTAAATAAAATGAGATTAAATGTTCATGAAATTAAGTGGCTTATTTTCAGTATTCGATTAATGTATTTCTTTGTACTCACGAGCTAAATTAAAATGAAAATGAGAGGTAAATATTTAAGCTTGAATAGCTTATGTTAAATATTTTAATTATAAATGTTCTTTATACTTACATACTAAATTAACACGAATAAAATAAAGTTAATATTTAAGAATTTAATAGATTATTTTAAATTCTTTATAACTCACTCGCTAAATTAATGCAAATAAAAGAAATTAATATTTATTAACTTTAAATTAAAATTTGGAGTCGGTTTTATTTTCTTATGTTAAAACCGATTAAAACCGGGTTTAACATAAGAAAAATAAAAAAAACCGGTTCCGAAATAGTTCATTTTAAAAATATTATAAATATTCTTTTTACGCACTAACTGAATAAAATGATTATGATCTTGAGTAACATATATATAAACTTCGAATTAAAAATGTATCTTACACTCACTGACTAAATGAAATAAAAATGAATTAAAATGAGGAGAACATTCAAAAACTTGAATAGCTTGTTTTAAAAATGCTTCAATTAATTAATATATTATATACTCACAGACTATATTAACGTGAATAAAATGATTTTGATATTAAATATTTATAAATATGAATATCATATTACACATAATTTATACTCACAGACTAAATTGCGAGCAAAATAATTTTGAATTGTACGAAATATTATGAACTATTACAAATAAATAACTATAATACTTAATTGACCATCATACATACTCCCTAAAAGATTAAATGGGTTTGAGAAATATTAATTTTCGATTTCAAAACTTCAAATACATATAATGATAGAAATCAATATATAAACTACTTTTTAATCCAATGGTTGTACTTGTCTTTGCTCTCTGTCACGCCAATTCCGTATCGGTAACAAATTGCTACTTTAAAAGTACCCATAGAATTATCTGCCTCAGCCGATTTCTGATAATATATAAATGCTTTATGCTTGTCCATCTCAACCCCAATTCCTAAATAATAACACTGGCCAATTTGATACATTCCGTTAGGATTATTCATATCTGCAGACTTTTTATAATGAATAATGCCTTATTTTCATCCTTTTCAACTTCAATCCCGTATTCATAACAATAACCAAGCCAGAAGATCCTGTCTGAACTATTCAT